GTTATTAGCTAAGTAACAGAAACCCCAAATCACCTTACACTATCCTAAAAATACTACAGGTTCCTCTAAAAAGTGTGAAATAAAATAATTTTTAACGAAAAACAAATCCGACTTCGAAATGCACTAAAAAGTGTAAAATAATTTCTATTTCATTTATACCAATATTCCATAGCTATTAATAATATCTACTTAATCGTTAAATAGGATACCAAATACATTTCAGTTTTCGGAGGCGGCGCAAAATTAAAAATTCCCGAACAAACGATGCGTATAAGTCGTAATAAGTCGTAAGAGAAAAAGCGGAACATTATAGCTCCGGCTGAAAACATTTGTAATTGTAACGATTGTATCAGAAATTGGCAGCACTCCTGATGTACATGCACTATACTGCAGTTCACGAGAGACCGTACTTAACTCTCGCAGCTCACTAGGTCTAGAGAGATTTTTAATAACGTGTGTTATTCCCCTCTACAGCTTGCTTCTTATTATACTTTGCGACCATGTAAATGGTGGGCAGAAATATATGACATACGATAATTGATAACCGGTGATGATATTGAAAAGTTTCACGATACAATGAAATTCCTATTATTTGTCGCAAGAAAAAAATGATGTGAACGCAAAGTAAGAAGCAAGCTGTAAAGGGGAATCACGCGCACTATTAAAAATCTCCCTAGACCACAGTAGGTCACTAGCTGCGCGAGTTAAGTGCGGTCAAATGGGTTTGTTGATACCCGTTGAATATTATTTACTTGAAATTATCAAATGGGTGATTTATCATAGGTTGCCGACGTCCGAGTTAGGATCTTCTTAGTAGAGGAAAAGTTTTAAATTTTGCGCCGCCTCTGAAAACTTTGAAATGTATTTGGTATCCTATTTAACGATTAAGTAGACATTATTAATAGCTATGGAATATTGGTATAAATGAAATAGGAATTATTTGACATTTTTTAGTGCATTTCGAAGTCGGATTTGTTTTTTGTTAAAAATTATTTTATCTTCTACTCGGAAGATCGTAGTTCAGGGATTGGCAACCGATGACACGCCGGTTACCGAATGACCCATTTGATAATTTGAAGTTAACAGTGAGAATTAACTACATGTACATCAAAAGTGCTGTCAACTTTTAATACAATCGTTACAATTATAAATGTTTTCAGCCGTACCTATAATGTTCCGTTTCTTACGACATATTATTTATCAAGATTGCCATACCGTAATCAAATCGTTATTGGCAGGAGTGTATATTCGGGTATTTTTAATTTTGCGCCTCCTCCGAAAAGGTTGAAATGTATTTAGTGTTCTATTTAACGATTAAGTAGATTTTATTAATAGCTGTTGGGTATTTGTATAAATGAAGTAGAAATTATTTCAGTAGGTTGTATTTTTTGTTAAAAATTATTTTATTTCACACTTTTTAGTGGAACGAGCAGTATTTCTAGGATGCCATAAGGTGTTTTATCGTTCTTATTGGTTAATTGCAATAACGATAGTTTTTAACGATAACAAGTTCCATACAAGTTATAACAATAGTTATTAACAATAACAAATTGCATACATTTTTGCAAGTGAGATATCGCGGAAATATCTCCTACAGGATGATCCTCTCGCTACACTACCCAAAAGGAAGTGCCGCCGCATAGAATGTAGAAATCGACATCCCATTTCTGTCATCGCTTACTTGACCCCTGCAGCGAAAACGGCTGTGTGCGTGAAAATGTGTGTAATGAACAGAAGAGTCCCATTTAAGCGCTGTGGAAAACAGAATATTTTCTTAACACATTTCCACGCACACAGGCGTCTTCGCTGCGGGGTCCACCTCCGTGAAGTTAGCGATGACAGAAATGGGATGCCGATTTCTACATTCTATTGTGACGGCACTTCCTTTCGGGTAGCGTAGTGAGAGGATCACCCTGTATTAGATGTGAAAGGTTTCATCACAATCGGTACGTACTACAAATTCACTAACGCATTCACACTGTGTCGATGAGTGAATGCGTGGCCAACTTCACTGTGACAAGTTCAATGCAACTCACTGTACATGGCTTGGAAAGTATGCATGTATACAAGAAACAGTAGGAAATCGGCGACTGCATGCTGACTCATACACTGGTAGAGACACGTAGGCATATGTAGAATTCAATGCAGTAGTAACAATAGTTTTTCACGAATATCTCAGAAACTAAAGCTTTCCGTTAATTATGCATAATGAAAAAGTTGTTCAGAATCATGTCCCCGACAACATATTAAAAGGTCATTGAAATCGTCCAATCTTGACATTAAAAACTTCCTGTATTTTGCAATAACAATGAATAAATGAAAAATTTTTTTTAAATGGGACCAGTCGGGAGACATACTCTACCAGATGCAAAAGGTTTCGTTCCGATTGGTCCATCCGTCTCGACGTAATCGGTGAACATACATAAAAAAAAAAAATATATATATATATATATATACATGTACTGATCGAATTGAGTAACCTCCTCCTTTGTCGAAGTCGGTTAAAAAGAGACCAGGACGGCATCCAATCTATCACCCAGACGCTTAGACAGGCCTATTATAAGTCCGATGACATCCGGTCTATTATATTACTTTGACTAAAAGCAGCGTTTCTCATACATAACGCAATTCATTTTTGCTCACCACCTGACGAATTATTATTAGTAACAATCCAACATTACCTAATGGATAATAATAATGAATAATAATGAAAATAAAAATTGCAAATCTTCTAATAATATTTCAAATTATAAATGTGTATTTCAAAAAATATTTCTTCAAGCATTTCTAATAATACTTCCCGGTATATGTTGATATAAACACCAGACAAGGGTAGATAGGATCGATAAAATAGTTTACTTCGTATTAACTTTATCGATTAATTTTAATCAAGATAATACAACTGTTATTCCCAACAATTTCTTGATACAATGTATCGCATGCACTATCACTTTAAAGACTTAACGGAAGTACTACAACCCTCTTCCATTAGTGAATGATATTTTCCGTTTGTTTTTTGATGTTCCAATTAGATTTGCATAATAATGATTACAGTAATGCTTCGAAATAAGCAAGTGGCTCGGGACCGAACAGTTGCTTATTTCGAAGCAGGTACCTATTCGGCTTGACTTTGTTCTCGAAACGGGACGATAGAGAACGCGAGAAACGAGTGAGAGATCCGAGGTAGCGGCAAATCATAAAGTGATCGGCCGAGCAGCGATGTTATTTTTTGGACAAGGATAGAATATAACATGCCCTCTCATTCTCGCACTATGCTTTATTTCGAAGCAAATATACCAGACTGAGAAAGCATTATATATATTCCATCCTTCTTCTACTAACCGATGTCACTGCTCAGTCGAGCGTGAAATTTATTACCCTAAACATCGGCTTCGCGCTTTGATGGACCTCTCACTCGTTTCTCGTACTTCTCACTTTGCGGGCGACTTCAAACAAAGAAGAGGGGATAGCGACTTGCTTATTTCGAAGCAGAGACCACTTGCTTATTTCGAAGCATTACTGTATATGTCACTATTCTAACTTTATTACTCTTTCTTCACTAGTAAATGATACAGCCTTCAAGAAGAAGGTACTTTATATACTACTTCAACAAACGTTTTCCAAATGTTCAACCAAGTACCAAAACTTGGTGAAGAGAAAATCAAAGATAAAAACGAAATATGGACATTTTTCAACGTAACAAGCTACAGAACGTTAATGCGTTATCGTATTTTCGTAAATATGTGCATAGGATTTTTGCGTTTTAAAATTGTCTCATTGAAGTACATATTAAAATTCCGTTTCACATTTTCCGCGATATTGATGACCATTTTCAGTATTTGTATGGTATTATCTGTGAAAGGGGTGGTAAGAATTTAAACTGCACAGCTTCTTATAACACGCGCGTGTTTATTAAAATAGATAAGTGATTTAAATATATAATATAACGTATAAAAGAAATAAACGTAGCTTTTGTTTAATACAAGGCACATGGTGTGTGCATCACGAATACAAACTAAAACAAAATATGACGTCGTTTCCGCCAGTGCTAGGAACAAAACTAAAAGAACATAACATATACTTCATGCCACCGAGCAGGGGAGCAAACCGCACTTCATTATCCATATACAATGTTAATTACGTAATTGAAACCGACGACCATGGTTTTATACTGCAATTTCATTTTGTTCTTGAGTCCTATGATCATTATATGTATTTATGTGGTTACATTTCAAATCATTCTACCGTACGAATAATTGAGAAAGTGGAAAATGTGACTCCTCTGCTGCCACCGAAAACGTTTTGCAAAATAGCTAAACTAGTGTACGCGAAGGAAGTGTTGCTTTTCATCCTATTTATTCTGTGTTTCCTGTTCAGTGTTAACGGATTTGGATACATAATTGACTGTGTTGGTATGTGCTTTTGTCGATGGTAGCGGCAAACGCTTTGTACGCGAACAACGTGTACGTGTTGAAAGCTTGTTTCGAAAAAATAAATGATTCCCTGGTGAAACTGAACGAAACGGTGTTCAACGAAGAGCCGGATCTTTTCAGCGGAGTAGGTATATCAATCACAGGAAAATCCAGAGTTGCTCAAACAACTGAGAAACCTTAGAAAAAAACATTTAAAAATCACTGCTACTGTCCGGCTGATTAACGAGACGTATAATATGCAAAATATCGAATCGCTTATGATGATCTTCATTGACATCACGTTTAACGTGTACCATTATGTGGTACCTTTTACTCAAAAGGATATGGTTACCGTATGGTTTTCCGTTATTAATATGTATATTACGTATTATATTTTCAATTTGATTTTGATTGTTTGGACCACCGAGACGACTAAGAACCAAGCACAGAAGATTGGTTCTAATTGTAAGAGTGGTGCGAAGGCCACTATATTAATATGACTGTCCCTGCAATCCCAGAACTTTCTATGGCAACGAATGTTATTAACAAAAGATGTAAATCAGATCATTCTCGATTTAGCCGTTGACGAATAAAGTCTACAATTTTTCAGAAGTGGGATATTATGGGATATTAAGTGGGACCACTCTTACATAATGTTCACCGAATCGTCGTGAATATTTTTAACAGACGACGATTGAGGTAAGGTGAAATGATGGAAAAATTCTGAATAAAATCTCATTAACTTTAATGGATGAATTTTTTAATTTGCACCCCCGTATTTGGAATTATTCTCTTCGCAAGTGCTGCAGTGTGACAGCACCTTCTCGGTAATGGGTCTTCCGACAGACGCAACCATTTTGACAAAGGTAAATTCATTTAATTTGCAGTTCGAATTTAACATTTAATTCTTTCATTTTTTTTCTTGCGGATAGTGCGCTCTATTACCACTTATGTATTACTATTGGTACAATCTCTGCTTGCAATGCCTTATTGAGAAAAACTTTGGTAAGTTGTTTATTCTCTTCTTTTAATAAGACAATCTGGTTTACATGGGGAAAAACGGGAGTTCTACGTGACCGCTGTCCTGGACGTTTCCCACTAGATCGTACCGCATCATAAACTCAGGTATCAATAAGTGTTTTCGTTTTCCGTTTTATGCAATTTTCAACCATCGGAAACAGAGAGACGGCCTATGAGACCGTCTGGTCCTGGTAGTATCAGGACTCTATCCGCTAGGTTCGATCTCTCAAACTATTGCATTAATATTCACGTTAAAATCTAAGCGCCTCATCGTTGTCCGAATCTAAACTAATATGTTCATACATTGTTCGATCTAATTTAATTTTTGATATTCGCTACTAAATCATATATTTTATATAGTCCATCTATTTATATTATATTTTCTCACAGCACGTACACATTGTTGAAAACTCATACATCAGTTATACAGATCTTTTGTTGTTATTTTTGATATTTTACTTATTTTTGGAATTATACGATCTGCTTCAAAATTCTGTTTAATTTCATTCAAACACCAAACACTTCCATCTCATATTTCACGCCTACCAACATAGCATAAATTCAATCGAGGGGCCCGTCTGGGACCAGAGTATCAACGAACCCAGCAGTAGGATCGTTAATTGGATTTTACTGACTTTTTAATTGTTCCAAACGTAGAGGACGATCGCGAAAGCGACCGTCAGAAACACTTGGAACTGGTGGCAGCGCTTATACCTTTCTCTATCGTGCATAGATAATTAACTTCCAAATTAATTTTTATCAATTTTTCATTTTGTACGTTGCGCCGCCGTCCGACACGCGACGCGCGTCGCAACGTAACAACCACTTTTAATCATGCTAAAAGCAAACTATGCAACAAATTATTTATTCACGTTATGTATTATCGTATTGCAATTTGTTTTTTAATATCATACAATTTTCTAATATCAAGAGAATCGTTCAAGTGTCCTACATCGACGATTAAATATCAGTATCTTGAGTTTATTGAAAACATATACAGTCTGACCACTTTTATAACGAAGTCTTTTTCTATTAGTCTGTCAGACAGACTATTTTCGTGATTAACATCAAATTTTTTTCCTCTGTAACTTTCCAAGTTGCGAAAGAACGATGTCTGAAGCTTGGAAGATGACAGAATTAAAGGAGAACAAGAAATGGAAACTATTTCACGCCACGGATTTCATTTCGCTGGTGTAACCTTGCCATTTTATCGCAAATATATTCGAATCTTTTCCTTTCAAATGTGTCTCTTCAGGATATATCTTTTCAAGAATTCGTGTCATTCATTCAATGACCATTTTGGCCATGTTCCTGATCGCGGTATTCTATTTGGTATACGAAATTGATTTCACCTCACCGGTATCCAATACTCTACCAAGGAAACTGTATCAGAGTTCGTATCTCATCATGTGTGGAAACGCTGTCTTGTTAACGTACGGGCAACATAAAGCGATACTGCGCTTTCTTCAGGAGCTCACTGAGGCGTCCTCCACGGTCGCACCAAAGGACTTCAACGACATGGCGATATTCGTTCATTCAAAGGATATTTTTGTATTTTTGTTTCTCTCAAGTCACGTCTTCAATTGCTTTAAAAGTGGATTCACGTTTATGACAGTGAAAAATTTTACCGCTCCATTCATGATCTTGGTGAACTTCATTATGGACATGTTCTACATTAACTCGGCATGCGTTTTAAAAGCATGCTTCATGAAAATCAACGAAAATCTTGATATATTTCGAAAACCCATCACCAAGACATTTCTGCGCCACAAACAGAGGACTGCTTTGTTGCTGATGAAATTGAAGAATTTAGAGGGGAAACATCCGCAGGTTGTTTGTACAATTACTGAACAAAATATTTATCACGCAACTCATAGTAACAGCTGTCACGACGTTTATTGTTGTTACTTTTGATTTGTACTTCTGTTTAGTACGAGTCAGCGGTGGGGAAGTAGGTCGGAAAAATCTACACTTGTGATCCTGGCCCTATATTCCTCCTATCGTATATAATTTTCTTTTTGTTACGATGATTTGGGCGTGTGAAACGGCGACTAATGAAGCTAAACAAATCCGCACTACTCTTCACGATGCTCTTAGCGAGGCGACTGATTTGTCGGTGAAACGCGAGGTAAGCTACAAATTCATCGAATCTTCTGAAGATGCTTATGAATACTATTAAATTACAGCTGGAGCTAGGTAAGATTGCCGTTTTGCCCTGTACAATATATAGTGAATGAGGCAAAGTTGAGGTCAAAAGCTTTAGTTTAAATTCCTCCCAGTTCAATTAAATTAGAATAAAACTTTTTTGCAGGTCGTGGGAGGCATCACCGTGTACCTTTTGATACTGTTCCAATTCTTACTGAACTCGATAGTATACGATGCCATGAAAGAGTGAACAAAGAAATATTTAGAAAGTTATGTGATTCTGCGTGGTACATGTGTTTCATATCGATTCTTTCGGCAGTATTGCGAAAGACACTTTTTCCTTCGCTTATATATATATATATATATAAATTTGCACAATTGCGAAGCAAAGGAATCTAGCAGTTACATTGTACGTTACCATGAAATCAGGTACGTGATTACGGAATGCTAGATTATGGGATGTTCTAATACACTGAACGAGACCTAAAGCCGAGTATCCACCTGTATCAAACGCCCGTATCGTATCACCGTTCCGAACCCTTTTGAATAGGCAGACGTTGCCTCGTTGCATGCCACGGCGTGCTACGGCTCGGACAATATTTCTTCGTTTCTTGAAAGAAACTCCTATAGGCGAGAAGTTTCGATTTCCTGCATGCTGTTTCTTTATTGTAATTGTTCTAACCATATCGTGTTTGGTATCATTTTAATCAGAAAAACGTCACAAATATCTTGGTAAAAGTTTTATAAGAAAAAAATGAAAAATAACAAAGTTCAGTCATTGCATTAGTATTATCTCACTGATATATCCGATTCCAGATCATATTATCTCGAGCCTCAAGTGTCATGTTTCCACTTGACATAGCATTTCGGGCCTTCGCCTGGGTATGTTGTTTTTACGTTTCAAGTGGTCTCCGAACCTATCCTTTGAACAGCAAGAAACCGACAATTTTCGGATCGGCCCGTTCTTTCATCTCCGTATCACAGCCCAATAGAACTTTCGATACTCGGCAACGGAAAAATCTCTGGAAAATTAACATTGTCCTTTTTCAATAATCACAGAGGTTCTTATTAACATTGCTCTTTTATGTACAGCGTATCACCGAAGATAATTGATCTGTTTAAATATATTTGAAATGAATCCAATAATACTGCAAGATTTCAAATAAATTGAAACCTAAGTGACGGCACGAAACGCTATGTCAAGTGCAAATGCGTAAACCTTTCCTTCGATGCAACGGCAAAGAATCGACAAATTTTTCGGATGGGTCCGTTGCCTCCGTTCCTTTGGAACGGCACGCAGCAAAACGAAACTCCTCGCCTGTAGTGGCCCAGTCCTATTGCCGAACCGTTTCTATCAAGAAACGAAGAAATATTGTCCGAGCCGTAGCACGCCGTGGCATGCAACGAGGCAACGTCTGCCTATTCAAAAGGGTTCGGAACGGTGATACGATACGGGCGTTGGATACAGGTGGATACTCGGCTTAAGAAATCGTCATGCATTTCGTACAGACTTGAGCATTTTGCGCCACCTCCAAAAAGGATGAAATGTATTTCATATACTATTTAACGATTAAATAGGTTTTATCAATAGCTGTGGAGTAATGGTATAAATGAAATAGAAATTATTTTACACTTTTTAGCGCATCTCGAAGTCGGTTGTAGTTTTTGTTAAAAATTATTTTATTAGCAATACAATTCAGATTAATATTAATATTGACGGATTGCCACTATCTAAAAATTCAAGTAGCCAAGTTTATCCGATTTTATGTAGCATCGCAGGGCATAAAAATGTAGTAGATATGGTTGGTGTTATGAGATACCATGGTTATGAGAAACCCAAAGATATGAATAATTTTTTAAATGATTTTGTGCAGGTGACAATGGATGTCATTAATAACGGATTTTTAATAAATGAAAAATTGTATCGTTTAATAATTAAATCTTTTATATCTGATGCTCTCGTTAAAGCCTCAATTAAATGCGTGAAAGGGCATACAGGCTATTTTTCTTGCACCAAGTGTCAATCTGAAGGAGAATTCATAGAAAGTAGAATATGTTTTCCTGATGTGAGGAAAATTCGCTTAAGAACCAACTCTGAGTGTAGATTAAAATTGCAAGAAGACCATCATATGGGGTCATCAATTTTGGAACATATTCCGGGAATCGGTATGATAGATAGCTTTCCTTTTGATTATATGCACCTTGTTTGTCTGGGCGTAACAAAGAAATTACTGGTTAATTTGTGGTGTTGTGGCAAACCTTCAACCAAAATATCCAATTTTGATAATTTTTATTTTACCCTGGTCCAGTAGTTTTAAGTCACAATTTAAATAGGCACAAATATTTAAATTTTCTTTCGCTGCACGTAGGATTGACTATATTAACAAATTCCAGGTATTTCGAATTTCGAACATATCGATTACGCGTCACAGTTATTCGAACATTTTATTACAACATTTAAAATACTATATGGATCTGAAAATAGTAATTATGCACAAAAAAACCTCAGTCGCCGATGACCTTGATCTTGACATATGTTGTCAAGGTCATGATCATGGGTAACGTTGGCCTTGAAAAAAGTGGCGTTCACAATCCGTTCAAAAGTTACGAAGCATTAAAGTTTTCGCTTTTTTTCGCGTTTTCGCGTTTTCGCGTTTTAAGCAACCTTTTCCTATACATATAACTGTCGCTTGGCTATAGTATCGACACTGGTCGAAGAAACCATTGTGAAAAAGGGCAATCCAGATGTCCATCGATGGCTGGTGAGAAAGGCGCGGCTGCCTTTTGGTAAATCCTAACATGCACATATTGTTTGCCGGTCATAGTGTTGTTGTTTATAAAAGTAGTAGACGACAAGCAGCAATCATTTTTTGAATTTTGGCATGCGTGGCCGACCGCCTTACGGCGCCACAGTGGGACAAAACGGCTTTCGGGGATCAAAATTCGATTTTCGTGAATTCGAAAATTGAAAAACTAATTACATACATCGAAAGAGAATAAACTGTAATTTAACGTAGTGTAATCCGTTTTTTCATATTTGCTTCCGTTTTGGCGTGGTTCGCACTCAAAGTCAGTAGAAATTCGTCAAAACGAAACGCTGATAATATTACCTGTAACTTCAATTTACGATTCTACTGAATTTTACTCGGAAAGATAAAATTCAAATGAATTACAAAATTTACTAGATTAGTATAGATTCTATTCAGTGCATAAAATAAGTTAAAATGTTAACAACTTTTTAAATAATAGGATCTGATTGAAACGAAGTACATTTAACTAAAATCTCAACTTTGCGTCTGATTTTAAAAACATTCCACAACTTGCAACATGTTTAATTATTACTGCAGGAAAGAGTGAATCTTCCTCTATCAGAATCTGAAAAAATTGGGTGCACGTTTTTGCACTTTTTCAAGAAAATGGCGATTGAATGAAATTACACCCACCTTGGCCGCTGCGCGCGAAGATGGAAAAGCAGTAACAGATACGATTATTAACCAGTTAACTGCCTTATTAACCATTATTATTAATCATTGCAACGTATATATTCGTCATCCAAAACTTTATTTCGGTTTAATAAAAGTGTTCAATGTAACAACTATTTATAAATAATAGGATCTGATTGAAACGAAATACCTACATTTAAATAAAATCTTAATATCGTCCAGAATCGACACCTCGCCAGGATAAATGAAACCTTTGAAACCAGAGCCGACACCGCGATTGGTTCTGATTTTGATCTCTCTTGTTTTTCGCCAACTTTTAACATCAATTTTAGCAAGTAATTATAATTGAAACTATATCGTGTTTGGTACCATTTTAATCAGAAAACTCTCACAAATGCGTTAGTAAAAGTTTCATTAAGGAAAAGTTAAAAGTAAAAAAGTTTTATCGTTGTATTAGAATTAGTTATATCGATATTACGGTTCGGATCATATTACACGGCTTTCTGGGCAAGCGTCCCGGTTCGCCAAGGGGGTTCCCCCCATGTGGAGAGGATAGCCACTTTGCACTTATCCAGCCAATCTTTTCTTGCACTTATCCAGCTTTTACTGTAAGTCTATGGCCCTCCACCACTTGAGTGTAAGCATTTAGACGGAAAAACTTGATATGATATTTATTTTATTATCTATATTTCTTATTCATATACTGAATTTTATCAGAAAATCACGGTTAATGTTGATATAGGCAAAATTACTTTGCAGGATAATGTACGTACATCCAAACTATCGGTGTATTAGTTTTACATTTTTGTTATCTTTAAGGTTATTCCTCCCTGTAACGACAATAGTAACGCTTGTGGTTCGTGTTTAAATGGAATAATGGTTTCCTCGCAAACATCAACTTTGTGGTTCCTTAGGATTGTTATAATTCCAAGCTTGACTTGATAATTCGCAAAGCGTGCACCTGAAAATAGAAGTTAACATTCACGTTATATCTGTACTCGTGCTACAGTGGAATGCGCTTATTATCATTTTGGGATTTGAGATTCTTGATAATAAGTATTAAATAGAGGATAAAAAATACTCATTATCGAAGTTAATTTATTGTAAACGATTATGACAATTATGATCCCTATTCACTGCAACAATTTATGTTGAAAAGTTGAAGGGAACGCTTCAAGAAAACATCTACGTAATTACGTATTTTCTAAAAACTTTTATCATACAATCATGTAGAAGATAGATCTGCTTCAATTAAAAATTAGTTTCGAAAGAAAGGTTTTAGTAAAAGTTTTTAAAGAATTCTTATTGTTTGCCCCAAGTGTAATTATTACAATCGATAACACTAGCCTACTGATAACATTATCGATGATTATAATCATTGGATTTTACTATATTCGAGCCATACAACATTATTTTTTCATTCCACCTTTAATAAAAGTATTATTACTC